AAAAAAAAAAAAAGCTATACCGTCTCTGTGGCAAAAAGAGCCTTAACTAGTCCTTCTTGGAAAAGAAGTTCCACGAGTTCCTTGATAATGGGGAGCAGGCCTGAATGATGGACAGCAATCCCTCTCTGAAGCAACGGCAACATTAATTCAATTGCAGGCAGATTCCTATCCTCCTCATTCAAACATTGTATTGCATTTCTAAACACTTGCTCCACCACATTTTTCTCCTCTTGTGTATTAAAATCAAGCTTGGACATAGACATGGCATGTTGTTCACACTCTCTTCTGCTGAAACTAAAAATTATGACAGGTTGAAATTTTCGCTCCATTATCATCTGCAAAGACAGCATTTACGGGGTGAACACTGAACCACATATAAGACAAGACGATTCAAAATAAAGTACAAATTAGGCACAGTGAATCAACCAAACTCAGACCTCCACAATTGGAAAAGAATAAATTATGATCACTAATACAAGGAACAGATAGTACAATAACTAAATATCACGTGGAAGGAGGCAGTCTCTGACATTGAGCATCTTACCTTGACGATTTTGTATATGTCAGAACCAGCAGAAGCATTTCCACCTTTAGCAATTCTGCCACTAGCCTTGGCATTTGCATTCTTCTTTCCATCGGAGAAATTTTGCTTCGCGAATGTATCTTGAAGCTTCAAAAAGTTATCCTCTTTAAACTGCTCATTCTCATCAACTACAAGATATAATCCGGAACCTCCCATTGGGAACACATAATGTTGCAGCGGGGTGGGCCTAAAATCTGTATAGGCGACATGGCACGGCTGCTTGTGTATATTACATATCCACTCAGCAAACTGAGTTGCGTTGGACATTGTTGCCGAAAGGAAAACCATCTTAATGGCGGGAGGCAAGAAAATAATACTTTCTTCCCAAACAACACCTCTTTCACGATCCTTCATGTAATGTATCTCATCAAATATGACCCAAGCGACCTCCTTCAGCACCTCAGAACCTCTATAAAGCATCCCTCTTAGGATCTCGGTAGTCATCACCAAACAACTTGCATTAGGAGAAAGTGTCACATCACCCGTCATCAAGCCCACATCTGAAAACTCCTGACTCAGCTCCCGGTACTTCTGATTGCTCAAAGCTTTTAATGGAGAAGTATATATAACCCTCTGCTTGTCCCTAAAAGCCATGGCAATGGCATACTCGGCAACTGCAGTTTTCCCTGCGGAAGTGTGTGCCGACACCAAAATTGACTCCTTCCTCTCCAAACAAGACACTGAAACCTTCTGAAAAGGATCAAGCTTAAATTCGTAGATCTTGGCCATTTCCCCGCTATAAAACGGATCCGAAAGGGTTCCATGAATGGATTCATCATTGCTTGAAGTATACCCGCTTGGAACTGCCACCTCATGCACACATGTCCGGGTTAAATTACTCCTCTTGGAGGCAGATTTTTGTTTGGGCACATCCTGTCCACCTTCTGAATTATCTTCCGGTTGTTTTCTTTTTAGAGATGATGGAGATTCATCCATCTGTGCCTCCATGTAATTACTATCCAAAGGTAAGGCTCCCAATGTTGTTTCCCGAGCTACTCCCGATGCACAGGTAACCTATAACAGAGCAGCAATAAAACATAAAAATCAGGTTTCAATCGCATCCAAACAACGTTTGTGTTTTCCTTTCGACACCCTCCCACAGACTCTCACAGCTAGATGAGCAAACGGCATATGATTAGAGCGCCTGAGAGGGTGAGTTAGAAAAAAAGGCAATTTTTCTGTAAATCGGCGCAAAGTATACAAATTAAATGCAAAAATTGGCGGAAAATTCATACAAAATGAAAAGGGTGGAACCCTAAAATCTGAACAAATACATGTCACATCTATGTATGAAGCAGAAACCATGGAGAATCAAGTAATACCAGTTTTGCATCATTCACGGGAGAGAAAATCGTATGTAGAAGAGCTTACCAAGAGATTTGAAGAGATTAAACCTCAACGGTGGGTTTGTGAGTTCTTAAACCCTAACCTTGAATAGTTTCCAGGTTACAAGCGGTACCTGAGCATGGGCCTGACCGTAATGTGGGGGTAAATCGATTGACTAGATATTGTTGGGTCCGGTTTACGGTTGTATCAATTGATTTTTCTTTTTCT